ATTCACAGAGCCGGGCGTCCGGCACAGTGGTTTTAGAACGTCCTCATCCGCCTCCCGCCAAAACGCTGCGCCCACATCAGCCCCCGTTCCCACCCCCTCCCCGCTCTCCCCAGCCCTGCCACCACCCGCCCGCTTTCTGTCTCTGTGGCTTTGCCTGTTCTGGACACTTCATTTGGTGGACTTGGGATACGTGGCCTTCTGCAACTGGCTTCAGTCTCCTCCGGGGAAGAAACACAGCGGCCTCCTGCCTGCTCTTGGCCGGCTGTGCAGGGCGGTCCTCGCTGCTGGCTGGGGACTCTCCCGCCCAGGTCCCTGTCCCGGGGCAAAGAGGCGTCCTCACCCCACCCTGGACGGCCCTGGGCAGCCCTGGCAGCAGAGCCTGGCGCCTGGCCACGAGGCTGTCCAGCCCGAGCACGTGTGGGCCACGGACTCTGTCCACGCCCTGTCGGAGAGGACTCCCAGCCCTCCTTCCTCCTGCCAGCCGTGTCCAGCGCCCGGCAGAGCCACGCAGCAGGAGAGGGCCGGACGCTGGAGGAAGGAAGCAGAGGCCAATGGAAGGGCGGAGGGAGCACTGGACCAGTCCCGGGGGTGGGCAGGCAGGTGCCCGGTGGGACGAGCTAGGGGGACTTCATGCTGACGAGCCCAGGGACTGGCTCCCCGGGAGAAGCAGTTTGGACTTGGCGCAGATGGGAGGCCAGGCCACCCGGCCACTGGCGGCCTCTGGGGACACAGCGCAGACACTCCAGGGCTGGGCAGGTCTCCAGGCCCCTCCAGCCCGCCGCACCCCAGCCTTTAGCCCGACCGCCTGGGCCTCTGGGACGTGCTGCTCCCCCGGGCCTGGAGTGGGCAGGCGCCTGCCCCTCCTCTGTCCTCTGTCAGCTTAGTTCCGGTGGATGTTTCCCTTCTAGCTCCCTGGCTTGTCCCTGCTGTTTATTTTGCTTAAATCTGGTATGTAAGCTCTTGGAGTTGCTTCCATCACATTTTATAATGTGTTAAGCCTGCTTGCCTTTTTGTAAGAGTTGTAATAAGACATATGTAACATAAAATTTGTCATTTTAACCATTTTTAGGTGTGCAGTTCGGTGGCATTAAGTACATTCCTATTGAGCCCGCTAGCCATTCCTGCCTCTCCCCCCGCGCCCACCCTTCTACCTCCTCCCTGTGAACCAGACCACCCTGGGGACCTCGTTCCACAGCGGACAGGTGTCAGCAACCTACCCCGAAAGGCCCAGGGAGCCGAAACGCTGACAAACCCAGTTTCTCAGATAGAAACGTTTGATAGGGACTTGGGAACAGAAGCCACGTGTCCGGCGGCCAAGGGTCCCCGCACCCACCCATGGAAAGTGTCCGTTGTACAGCAAGCCTTTCGGGGGAAAACGTGTGCCGCTGGTCACGTCCTCGGACTGTCTTGCCAAGACCTGTCGCCACCGGGGAGGCCTATGCGAAGGGTCATCGGTGCCTCGAGCGTTGTTGGAAGCCGTCTTGGCAGAGCCCTCCAGTCTGTGCGAGTGACACACCCCGTCCCGCGGCTCGGAGTGGAGAATGTGTCACTCTTGCCACGCGGCGGACGGCTTCCCTACAGACCTCGTACGACTGAGATAGAGTCGTGCGGGACGTGTCTGGCGCATTTCACTTGGCATGGTGTCCCCCGAGGCCCCCCACGTTGCAGCGAGCCAGAATCCCTTCCCCCACTCAAGGCGGAATGACAGGCCACACGGTGGACGGGCCACACGGTGCTCGGTGCAGGGGCTACGAGCACGCCACCTCAACACACGCCACCTGGCACGCCGACTGCCCGGAGTTAAAAGGCACTAGAAAAACAGCAGGTGCAAGACCCCTCTGAGCTTGGCCCTGTGTCCCGAAGGAGGGAGATGGGATTCCCACTTGAAAGACGCCTGCCCCCTCCCCGTACCCGAGGAGGAACCATTCTCATCAAGGATGGGCTCGGAAGGTGAGGCAGAGGGAAGTCTGCTCAAACAAGCATCTTCGTGCCAACCCTGATCTTGTGATCCACGTCTCCACCCAACTCGCTGCCCCAGCCCGATGTGGTTTGTCCACACAACGGACCGTTATTCCGCCTTCACTAGGAAGGAAATCCTGACTCACATCCACACATTCCTCCACGCGTCCACCATCCGCGTCCACGCCTCCACCCACCCGGCATCGCTTGCGTTACCCACTCAGCGCTACCCAGTGACAGCCGCCAGCCGGCACCACGTGGACGCCAGGCGCAGGGCGGCCCCGGTCCTGGCCTCGGAGTTACAGGCGGTGGGAAAACCCAGTTTATTTGTTGCGGGCATTGGTTACATGCTCCACGTGTGTCGTCTCCTGGGATCCCAGATTCCCGCCGGAGTTCTGCTCGGGGGCACTGCTATGACCCCGATTTCCAGATGAGACACCAGGGAACCAGGGAACCAGGCACCAGGGACGCCCCAGGTACGCTCAGCCCTCACGAAGGCCCAGAAACGGCTCCCGCTGTGGTTCACGTGGGGCAGGTGCGCACCGCAGGTGCTAACTGGGGCTCTGTGTGCCAGTGGTTCTGGGGGCTCTGACGCCTGGGTAAAGTTATACAAGTTCGCATAATAAACTCATAATAGGAATATTTATTATTCATTATTTTTGAATAAGTTCATTAAAATGTCTCATGTTTTATATTTGCCAAGTTTCAACGTTTCTTTTTTTTTTTTTTTTTTTTTTTTCAGAAGAGGGGAAAAATCTCTTTATTTTCTCTCCCATAGCAGAGTACACGAAAGGTACAGAACAATATCTTTCACATGTGGCGATACTACAACTTTGCCCGGATGAGGAAAATGGCTGATTTTTTTCTTCTCCAATCAAACTATAACTATGTCAACTGGTGGTCAACAGCCCAGAGCCTTTTAATTATTCTTTCTGGGATCCTGCAGCTGTATTTCTTGAAGCGTCTCTTCAATGTTCCAACAACTATAGACACAAAGAAGCCCAGGTGCTAAGCTAGGATGATGACAGCTCTTTTCTTCTGGGCAGAAACTTAGTCAAAGCTGACAGAAGCTTTATAAAGTTATTAGAAAAAAATCAATTTCTCTTGTTAATATTTTCATCTATTGCACTCATCTACAAAGAGAAAATGGCAATAAAATAACAATGTAAAAGTTCTGAGGTTGGCTATTTCTAAAGTACATATTAAATGCTACCATCAAAATACTGTTTATCATACAGCAGTCCCTTAACCTTCACTGAGTCTACTTAGGGGTTAACAGAAAACCTTAGAAGAGAGAAGAGTT